CAACGGTGAGGTGTTCTTCACATCAGACCCATTCTTCAGGGTTGTCTCTGAAATTCTAAATGCATCTAGAACCCGATCCTGGTCCAGATGAAGGAAACATGAACCTGTTGCACTTTAACGTAAATGAGCAGCGATGTTTATTATCCTGATCAGCATTTTATTATCCTGATCAGCTGTTTATTATCCTGATCAGCTGTTTATTATCCTGATCAGCTATTTTATTATCCTGATCAGCTTTTATTATCCTGATCAGCTGTTTATTATCCTGATCAGCTTTTTATTATCCTGATCAGCTTTTTATTATCCTGATCAGCTTTTATTATCCTGATCAGCTGTTTATTATCCTGATCAGCTGTTTATTATCCTGATCTGCTTTTATTATCCTGATCAGCTGTTTATTATCCTGATCAGCTATTTTATTATCCTGATCAGCTGTTTATTATCCTGATCAGCTGTTTTATTATCCTGATCAGCTGTTTATTATCCTGATCAGCATTTTATTATCCTGATCAGCTGTTTATTATCCTGATCAGCTGTTTATTATCCTGATCAGCTATTTTATTATCCTGATCAGCTTTTATTATCCTGATCAGCTGTTTATTATCCTGATCAGCTTTTTATTATCCTGATCAGCTTTTTATTATCCTGATCAGCTTTTATTATCCTGATCAGCTGTTTATTATCCTGATCAGCTGTTTATTATCCTGATCTGCTTTTATTATCCTGATCAGCTGTATATTATCCTGATCAGCTATTTTATTATCCTGATCAGCTGTTTATTATCCTGATCAGCTGTTTTATTATCCTGATCAGCTGTTTATTATCCTGATTAGCTGTTATTATCCTGATCAGCTGTTTATTATCCTGATCAGCTTTTATTATCCTGATCAGCTGTTTTATTATCCTGATCAGCTGTTTATTATCCTGATCAGCTGTTTATTATCCTGATCAGCTGTTTTATTATCCTGATCAGCTGTTTATTATCCTGATCTGCTTTTATTATCCTGATCAGCTTTTATTATCCTGATCAGCTATTTTATTATCCTGATCAGCTGTTTATTATCCTGATCAGCTGTTTTATTATCCTGATCAGCTGTTTATTATCCTGATCAGCTGTTTATAATCCTGATCAGCTTTTATTATCCTTATCGGCTTTTAGTATCCTGATCAGCTGTTTATTATCCTGATCAGCTATTTTATTATCCTGATCAGCTATTTTATTATCCTGATCAGCTGTTTATTATCCTGATCAGCTATTTTATTATCCTGATCAGCTGTTTATTATCCTGATCAGCTGTTTATTATCCTGATCAGCTTTTATTATCCTGATCAGCTGTTTATTATCCTGATCAGCTATTTTATTATCCTGATCAGCTGTTTATTATCCTGATCAGCTGTTTATTATCCTGATCGGCTTTTATTATCCTGATCAGCTGTTTATTATCCTGATCAGCTGCTTATTCCCTCACATCTGTTATTTAAGGTGGAATGGTCTCTCTGGATTTGATCCAAATGTAAAACTTTAGAAACTAAAATGATAAACTGAAGATTTGTGTTTTTCCCTTCCAAAATGGAGCTTTTATCACAGACTAATGTTATCCTCCCTTTCCTGAATCATATCCACCTTCAGCTCCTTTTAGAGCTCCTAGCAGCTGAAGTCTTCCTCACCAGCTCCTGCTGACAAAAAAAGGCTTTCAGGCAATTTCAGAAAATGTCAACAGCACTCTTCATCTGTGCTGGTGCTGTTTCCCCTCTGCAACTGGCAGGAGCGTTGTTCGGAGGCTGGGGGTGTGGGGTTCCTTAAGAGGCAACAGAACCTGTTAGATTGGACGAGCACTTGGCACCTTTTCCCCCCGGAGAGGCTGCAATGAGCTCAGCCCCTCCACTGGCCGCTGAGGATTTAGAGAGTCCCAAACTGCCTCCTCCACCCCACTGCCAAGGCAAACACTCACTGATGAAAAACAAATACAACGCAGTCAACCTTGATGTCTCCCAGGCCGCAAATAACTCCGTAGGTTCAAACGTGTAATTCATTTAGCTGCAGTCCTGGACGCTCGTGGATGTCACCACAAGCCACCGGCTGAATCCAAGCTTATAAATTTCAGTTGCAACACAAACAGCCAACAGGAGGGCTCGCTTTAACTACTCAACAAATGTCACTAATCTATTCACGTCACAATTAGCATCACATCAGTATGCCAGTCAGGCTGTGGTCAGGTGTTGGGCAGACCTACCATCAAATAAATCATCTGTGCTTCTTCAGAGTTGGCCTTCCACTCATGTGAGATTGTGTCTGACGATAGCCGAGCCCACGAGCAGCCTTCGCAGGGAAAGTGATCAATGTGAGAGCCACTGGAGGGTCCATTAGAGCCTCCACACCAACTGGGTCCCTCACTCTGTTCATAATTTATCAAAGGCATCCAATTAGGCCAGAGCAGAGAACAATGGCTGAAGGAGCTAGTTCTGAAGGAGCCGGAGAGAAGCATGTTCTAAATAGGTTCCTACTCCATCAGCGACATCATTTCATCCCAGCCTGAAGAATAGATGAGAGCTCCCCTGTTCCAGGGAGAAAGACTCTTATCAGAGTATCTGAAACCTTTTTAGGATAATAAAAACACTCCTAACCACCCGCCAGCCTATGAAAATAACAAAAACACATTTATTTAGTCAAACAGGTCTCAGATTATGGACGACACAGATGTGTCTAAACCAGATTACAGCAGAACCTTTGTACATAAATCTGTAACGATCTAAGATGCTGATCATCAGAACCCAAAGGCTTCTGTCATTTTAGGTGATGTGATGTCACAGTTATGTCATGGATCATAAATGCAAGCATGTGTTGAGACCGTATTTGTGAGAGACGGACGACAAACAGCTGCACATGGTCCATGTTTGTGATGAAATCAGCTGTGCACAGCTCATGCACGTTGACTGTCAAATTTAATATTTCATGCTTTTATTCCCTCTCTGGCTGATTTTTCCTCGCTCCACGTTAAACAGGGAGCGACATGATGACTTTTCCAGGTTTTCCTTTGGTCCTGATTTTGGTCCCGTTTAAAGTCCAACAGTCTACCGTCACCTTTGCTTAAGTTACACCCTGATGTGTAAACACAAGCTGAGCTAACTTTGGCAGACACCAGCCCTGCCTTCTCCTGGTCTGTGGCGTTAGCTGCTAGGTGGGCTGCTGTGTCAAAGTCCATCAACATCTTTTTGTTCCTCCACTGTAAAAACTAACATTTGGACCTAAACCTTTTATTATTTGTGTCATCGATGCTTAAAAATAGTGCATTTTGAACATTGTCCAACATTTGCTGAAAGTTGCTCTTTAAGATAAAATCTGAGGCCATCCCTGCCTTCCACCTCCTGAAGAGAGACTAAAAAGTCACTGAAAGCTTTGAACTTTGAATTTATTATAAAAAGGCCTTTTTAAGCAGATACACTTCAAATATACTTCAAAGTGCTCCTACTAGTTTAGAAATTACTCAATGGCATGGCACCAAAATACATGCCTGATCTCATTCCTGTGTATACACCCAACAGGGCTCTGAGATGAAACAATCAGCTGGTAGAACCTCGGGTCAGAACCAAACATGGTGGAGATGCATTTAGTTACCGTATTTTCCGGACTATAATTCGCACTTTTTTTCATAGTCTGGCTGGTCCTGCGACTTATACTCTGGAGCGACTTATATACCAAATTATGTATACCGCGCTGCTGCGGGCTGGCTCCGGTCCAGGTTTCAGCTCCTCTGCCCTGCTATCACCTGCTGGAGGCCATGGCGAGCTGCTGCGGCCCAGGCGGCTCCGACCAAGGAATGAGCTCTCCCCGCCCGCTGGGAGGGTTTGAAACACCGCCATCATCTGCTGGAGACCGTGGCGCACTGCCGCACCCTGGCTGTTTATTCTGTTATTGTTACCGGTGTTACAGCAAAATCTGTGACCTAGCGTAATCTGTGACTTTGGGGGGCGCTAATGACTACTTCTCATTTTCTGGGTCTTACAACAACAGAAGAAGAAGAGCGCTTACGTAAACTGCGTAATGATTGTTCACCTTGAGGTCCACGTGTCAGGGTGAGGTGGTGCTCACTCTTCACCCCTGATAAGTGGACCCCAAGGAATAAACCATCACACCTGCTCAAACGTCACCTTTCCTAGAGGGTCATCCAACAGGACAGTGGGAGGGTTAAAAGACTAAAGCAACAGGAAAAGACACTATAGTGTATCAGCAAGACAACATCTGGCCATTGTTGTGCACCACTGTTCAGCCTTTGAATGGATATGATGACAAACATTCTAAATAAGCATTCATGTTTCATGCTTGTAATTATACAAATCAGATATTAAAATAGTCACTTTTTCTGAAATATGTGTGTGTTAACCTGCCACTTTCCCTGAGTAGAGTCATTGCCACCTCCATTCTGTGGGCCTTGACTGCCTTTGCAGTTATCAAAGATGGACAACTCCCCTGCCAGCACTTTATCAGCATACTGAAAACATATGATTAAGTATTGTGCAATAAGTACTTGGCTTACATATCTTAATGAAAAAAAGTTTGATAAATCCATTTTAAAAATGTTTATTAAAAGCAAATAATTACTTAATGGAATGTTCAAGACACGTTTTTTGAACAAAGCATACTTTCAAACAAAGATACCACAGGATGTGGTGTCTCTCTGTTCACCATGTGGTAGTGTGTAAGCTGTCTACTTAGATATTTTCATGGTTTTCTGCCTCATGAATGACCTACAAAGAATAAAGAAAAACTCAAATCCATTTTCAGAAGATAACATTGATTATTTGGGCCATCACATTAAATAACACAAGCCTGGTGGACAGCAAACATGGCTTCACTTTGGAGCCAGCATTCCCTAATGAGACCAGAACAACGCTCCTTCTTTCTGATGGAAAGATTGCCTGTAAAAACGAAAATAAATAAATAAATAAATAAATAAATAAATAAATAAATAAATAAATAAATAAATAAATAACGAGCCAGTTCCTAGTGGTGTGTGCTATAGGGTTCAGGGATGTGTGTAGTTAACAATGAACTATGCAAGTTGTGCAGTCTGACATTATCTATCACATTTATAAACATATCTGATTCTGGGTCTCTGGTGTAGCACCTCCAGCAGAGAGGCCCAAACCCTTTACCTGACAACCTCCAACTGCTCCACTGGCATGATCACCAGGAGTTCCCTGGCTAACACAGATATATAATTCACCAAACGCATCATGGGTCGACCTGGGGGCCTCCTGGCAGGACATGCCTGGAACACCTCATCCTCATTAACAGACCTAACTACCTTAGCTGGCTCCTCACGACATAGAAAACCAGCAAATCCCTCCCAAATGTTCACGCGCCTCACCCTATCTCAAAGGTTGAGCTTGCTGTTAACAGTGTGCACGTTAATAAAACATACAAGAGGAAACTTACTGTGAATATCCAGTGGTGTGGCTCATGAACTGCCCCCAGAATGATGTCAAACAGTGCAGGCTCACACTGCAAAAAGGTTTACGTTTACTGTTTAGATTTGATAATCAAAGTAAAAATCATGCCATTTTTTGTCATAATTTCAAAACTGTCTTACCTTCAGTCGAGTCTTTTTCCCATTCCATATGTCAGTCATCGCGCAGGAGTCAATGAAAAGTGCCTGCTTGCCTCTTTTATCATGATGTTTTTTAGTGATTTTTGCAAGGTAGGCAAGTATCACCTGAGGGCAAACAAAATAAAACTGCTTTAATATACTAACTTTTGTGTTCTTTATAGCGCAAAATTGGTGAAGACCTAAATCATTATCAAATATGTCATTTACACCTACCTCACTCTCAAGTTCCTTACTGGGCCTTGTCCTGTTAATGTCCCAGTAAAACACTTTGTATGGCCCAATTCTGGACAGAAGGACATGTACATCTTTTCCTTTCAAGCCTCTTTAACATCTATCCAATATGAAAAAAGTTATTAACTAAGGTTCTTAAAAAAGCAGCACATCTAATATGTGAATGAGACAATTTCATGTGCCATTTAATAACAAGCAGCAATGATCTGTTAAATGTTCATGAGATCATTAACCATATTTGTCTAATAGAAAACCAACGAGCACCAGTCATGTCCTTCCTTAATATCAACATGTATTCAAAACATTTAATAACTTCTCCAGACTGTCTTGAAAGTTCAGTAACAGAATGTGTTTTAAAGGAGACATAACATGAAAAACCCACTTTTTTATCCATTAACACGGTGTGTCCCTTACGAAAAAGAAGTATACTTTAAGTATTTAATTTCAAGTATACTTAAGTGTACAGAAGTTTATTTGCATACTTGTTCTTAAAGTTTACTTAGAAGTATACTCCTTGGGACTAAATTGGGCCGCTAAAAGTATACTTGAAGTATACTACAAGTATACTTCAAAGTAATAATTTAAGTTTATTTGTAGTGTACTTCTGATATAATTGAGTATACTTTTCTCTTTGAAAGTATACTTAAAGTAACCTCACAAGTGTACTTGGAGTGTACTTCAGATATAATTGAGTATACTTTTCTCCTTGAAAGTATACTTATAAGTTTACTTGTAGTGTACTTCTGATATAAATGAGTATACTTTTCTCCTTGGAAGTATACTTAAAAGTAACAATATAAGTTTACTTGTAGTGTACTCCTGATATAGTTGAGTATACTTTTCTCCTTGAAAGTATACTTATAAGTTTACTTGTAGTGTACTTCTGATATAATTGAGTATACTTTTCTCCTTGGAAGTATACTTAAAAGTAACAATATAAGTTTACTTGTAGTGTACTCCTGATATAGTTGAGTATACTTTTCTCCTTGAAAGTATACTTATAAGTTTACTTGTAGTGTACTTCTGAAATAATTGAGTATACTTTTCTCCTTGGAAGTATACTTAAAAGTAACAATATAAGTTTACTTGTAGTGTACTCCTGATATAGTTGAGTATACTTTTCTCATTGAAAGTATACTTAAAAGTAACAGTATAAGTTTACTTCTAATAAAATTGAGTAAACTTTTGCCCTTGAAAGTATACTTAAAAATAAACTCTAAGTAACATTATAAGTTTACTTGTAGTGTACTTCTGAAATAATTGAGTATACTTTTCTCTTTGAATGTATACTTAAAATTATACTTAAAGTAATAATGTATGTTTACTTGTAGTGTACTTCTTATATAATTGAGTATACTTACAGTTTTGAAAGTACACTTTACAGTAAACTTGACGTAATATTCTTTTAGTACATTTAAGTATCTCTATTTTTTCTATAAACACATACTGCAAGTAACATTTAACATCTGCTATTTGCTTACTACCAATACATTTACTTTCCACTATTTACTGATACTTCGTCTTTATGCAGAGAAAAAAAAAGTAAATAAAATAGCTAAGTCATTTTGTTTAAATTTATTAAACAGAGAGAATTAGAACAGAACAAAAACAGACCTGTTTACCAGGATTAATCAAAGATGAGAACGCAAACTGTTCTGAACATGACGCGTTAATTCTGTCCATTTTGAAAGACTTTTTAAAAATGCCTTTAAAAAAATCAGTCCATTTTATGGATCCACTTGCTTGGTTGTTGATGCCTTTTTGAAGTTTTCGTTGTTGCATTTCTTTCGTGTTATTTTTCTTACATCTTGAACGCGCAGAGATGGAAACTTCAACTGAGCACGCCCTGTGAACACACAAAGCAAAAAAATGAACACTTGAACTGTTAGGTGAACTCTGACACCACAAAATCTTTACAGTTCGTACACTGTAAACCCGAATAAGTAGGCAGAACTCAAAAAATGTAAGGCAATCAGTTGCCTCATATTTTCTGAGTTTATAAACTCAGATATTTGAGTATATCAGACCATAAATAAACTTAAATATTTGGAGTTTATATTAAATATATTTTCAAATTATGATCAAATTAAAGTTACCGATTAAGCCAACTCAAACAGAAAATAAAACAAAATTTGAAAGAAACAATTACAAACGCACACTTTTGAAAACTGGACAACAGCAGTGTGTAGTCTTTCTTTGAGTAGGTGGTTTAAAGCAACATCAGGATGCACATCAATTCAACATTAACAAAATATGAATTACACTAACCACTATCAAGTAAGTCAGTGAGTACTTTATGTCATTTGGCATAAAACTAGTTGAATGGGCTAATCCGATTCAATTATTCACGCTAAACTAAAGCCACAAATGAGAGTTGCCAGACTCAGAACGGCTGGACGAACAGAGAAAATGTAAAACTCAACTGTTCCTCCCACTGTCTTTATGGGTGACCCCGAGAGGAAAGTTGACCATTGAGCAGGGTTGATGGTTTATCCCTTGAGGTCCACGCGACAGGGGTGAGGAGTGAGCACCACCTCACCCCTGTCACGTGGACCTCAAGGGATAAACCATCAACCCTGCTCAATGGTCAACTTTCCTCGCGGGGGTCCTACCCATTAGGACAGAGGGAGGGTTAACTCAAGGAGAAGTGGAAAATGAACATATTTGCCCAAATGGTGGTGTGTTACTTTAACATCAACAATTAAAGAGCAGACAAATAGTAAATTACATTGTGGATGTGGACAATGCTCTAACAGAGTGAGCCATCTGAATCCACCACTCTTTCAGATTTTGAGTTACACATGTAACATCAGGTCATTTTTGACTCTGCAGCGTGGGTGACAGTTTAGACTCATCAAGACCAAGTAAGATTTTCTGCGTGAACTCAAATGTGTTGGTCAGTCCCTTCGGATAATCTAGATGTAAGGCATAGATGAGGCCGAACATTACCAGGAAGACATCAGGAAGGCTGGAGAGGTTGACAATCACATCACCCTCGAGGATAACAGATTCTCACTGGGTCGTACGTAACTGGACTCTCGGCATCATCGGTGATGGTTGTCAGGAGGACAACTGCTGCATCCCGGAGGTCCAGCTCATTGGTATCATCCTTACAAAAATGAAAGGGAGATCATACACTAATCACATCTGAACTGAAACTCTGACTGTGGACATTTTTATTTCAGTAGATTGTCATGTAAATAACAATAAATGCAGTCTGATAGACTCCTGTTTAGGGCTGGGCAACATGTCAAAGATTTATCGCTATCCAAGTTCTTGTCTCTCATCCAGATAATTTTTCCCATGTCAATAAATTTGATAATAAAAAAATGAAAAGATGTGTGAGTTGGCCACATTTATGTCCCTTTAAGAAGCTGTAGCACCTTGAGTCATGTAAAATTTTAGTCATTGTAATACACGAGACAGCCCCATCTAGTGGACAAATATTGTTGCTGCGCATTCCTGTAGTTATCGTCCACTTATCGTTATCGAGGTGAGATCTTCAACATATGGTGATATTGATTTTAGGCCATATCGCCCAGCCCTACCCCTGTTCATTCTGTTGCTTTGTGCTCTCATTTACGAATAAAGTGAGATGGCTTCAGTGTGTGCCAGTGTTATGCTAATGAAAGCTGCTTGAATTCTTTGCAGTGATTGTTGATTTTTCTCAGTGCCTTAAAGCCTGCCACACATGAGGGCCATCTGCTGAGCAAACGGTCTCGAATGACCGCTTGCTCAGCAGATACCTCGCCATGTGCGCCTGATTTTCACAGAGTTTTCCGCCTCACGAGACGCTGAGGTGAATATCTGACCAGTTAAGATATTTTCCGCCTCACAGGGGTAAAAACTCGCCGTGTGCGCATTACCGAGCTGCTGGTTGAGCTGAAATATTCTAGTGGCCAACCAAAGCACGTTCTCCGCTCACATGACCCCAAGATGGCAGCCCCGTCTGCATGTCAGAAAAGAAACAACACAGAGACAGAGCTGGAAACGGAGGAAATGCCTATCCTTTTTTGTTGAAACGTCGCCGCCACGGCATTTGAAGGACGGTTAGGAAAATATGGGTACAGTAGCTGGAAAGATGGACCAGGCAAGGAGTTTATGCCAATTTACTCCAAGAGATGCACCTGGAAGACCCAGAATCCTTCCGAAAGGGTAATGGAAACAGTGGGCCCATCGATCCGCAAGGTACCATTTTGTTTATTTTTCAGACACACAGACAGGGTAAGGGGCTGTATCTGAATACATCTTGGGGTCATGTGAGCGGAGAAAGTGCTTTGATTGGCCACTAGAATATTTCAGCTCAGCCAGCAGCTCAGTAGTGCACACACAGCGAGTTTTTACCCCTGTGAGGCAGAAAATATCTAACTGGTCAGATATTCACCTCAGCGTCTCGTGAGGCGGAAAACTCGGTGAAAATCAGGCGCACACAGCGAGCAATCTGCTGAGCAAACAGTCCTTCGAGGCCGTTTGCTCAGCTGATTGCTCTCGTGTGTGGCAGGCTTAAACATCTTGCCAAAGGTTTGTAGTTGAAACAATGGCACTTTTTCCAAAATGTTCATGTGCGTTGTCTTTATGCATAAATAAATAGAATGATTTGTTCAAATTTACAATACTGGGACTTACCACACATGTCCTCAAAAATCCAGAGGTTTCCTCACGTAGATAGACAGGAAGGGCATGGAGAACAGTGGTACGCCTTGTGTGGACATCATGTAATTCCTAAGAAGATTAAGAGTGTAAATACTGTAAAGTTTACTAATCAAACTTAATGCCAAATTGCTCTGACCAATTTTCCAAGACAGTGATATCTGCATCTAAATCCAATGATAAACTGCTGAATTCAAAAGTTAATTTGAAGTGTTTAGCATTACATAATACGGAGGGGTATTAGGGCCACTGAAGAAGAAAAAATTCTGAAAATAAATAAAATTAATAAAGTCAGAATTCTGACATTTATCTCAGTATTCAATTGTTTCCTTCAGTGGCCCTAATACTGCCTTATTGCCTAAGAGTATTAGAGTCACTGAAGAAAAAGAAAAGAATTGAGAAAAAAAAAGTCAGATAATTTCAAAATTCTGGGATTAAAGTCAGAATTCTGACTTTTTTCATAAACCTAAAACCAAACAAACAAAAAACTATTTAGGAATTGTTTTTGTTAAAAAAAATCAAAACAACAAAAAACAAAGCCTGAATTTTAAGATTTAAGTCAGAATTCTGATCCCCCCTCATAATCTTCCCCAATTTCCCCCTTTTTTTGTTTTAGGTACCAGTCAGAACTCTGAGATTAAACTCAGATTTATGACTTATTTTCTCAGAATTCTATATTTTTTTCCCATCAGTGGCTCTAATA